GCTTTCATGGTAATTAAACTTCCTTTGAAGATTTGAGTTAATCTGATGAAAGTTCCTCAAGATATAGAGCAGACACCGTTTCGTCAGTTAAACAAAGGGCCATAACTGGTTGTGGAACTCTTCAAACATTAGGGTTAATCAACCTTGCAATGAATTTTAAGTTAATCCATTAAAAACTACTAAGATAAAGAGCAAACACTGTTTCAGCAATTGAATAAAGGGCCATAACTATGTGAATTACAGTCGGATAATTGTGGTTATGAAACCTGTGCGAGCTTTCATGGTAATTAACCTTTCTAGGAAGGAAGGCCCTAAATAGAAACCACTCTATAGTTCATTCTAATTAACATTAATAGCTGATAACATACTTACAGTATGTGAGCACAATCATAGTTCACATTCTCCTAAAGTATAAACTTGTACATACGTGGACACAAGCCACCGGTCAGCCATGTCCAGCAGGATGTCTCCCACACGTGGATTGTTAAGGTAGTGGAACCGCTTTGGTGCCGTTTCTTTGGTGAAGACCTTCATCACAGATGTGTTACACATCAGTTTATCTACGAGGGCACTGACTGGTACAGCTGTAACAAGGCATTTTATCTGTGTCGTACTTATAACAGGCAAGGCATTGAAATATATTTTATAAGTCACGTTTCTATTTTGTATTTTCTTAAGCCAATAAAATATTGTATGTCAGAGGATATGTAAGGAATTTTAATTACAAAGGATTTTTACAAAACAATATTAAGTTTGAGACACCTTCAAACAAAACTGTGTCCAATAACGTGCTCGGTGAATATTTAGAGTGGAAACTTTCGGGATTATGATGCCTGTTTTGCTGTGAATTTGTTGTCTTTTTTTCCTTTTGTCATGACCATGGATAGCAATCAGTACATGATTATGACAGCGACATATTGAAAATTAATGTGAAGGTGTTTTTGATCTGCTTTACAGTCTAAGCATATGATAAATAAGGATAAGAAATACTGGTCCTATGACATGATGCTTCTAACATTATAATTTCCAAACATCAACACCGAAAAATTCTCACTCTCCTACTGAATTGAAATCAATCTTACTTACGATTTTCGTTTATCTTAATGTTCTTCCTGGGGCCGCTGTATTTAGTCTCAATGCGTCCGAATGTTCCGCTGGAGATCAGGACCTGGCTTGTATTGATGTGTTTTGACAGGTCCACGATCTGGTTACAGGACGTGTCATCAAACCCTGCGTATAAAACCTCCACTAAGTGTAATCTAACCACTGTCAAACATTCTTTGTTAATTTAACTACAAGATGATGACAGAAAGACATATTGATCATATACTAGCAAGTGCTTCAGATCCAATATACAATATGGTAACAAGTATTGCGACACGAACGCAAATCTCAGGGATGGAATGTGGTAGGTGACAAACTTTACAGTGAACAGGTTTCAACAAAAAAAAATATCTGTTTATGGTTAATATATATATAGAAACACACACTTAAACAATAACTGTGAAAAGGTTTGAAGTAAATAAAAAACAGACTTTAAGATAAACTGAAATCCGGGTATGCATAAAGTCATCTTGAAAAACATACATAAGCACTCTCATCCATCTGCAACTGAAGTTTACGAAAATACCAAAGATTAACTGAAATATGATTCTTTGATTTAGACAGGTACGACATTTTGTCACTTTCTTGTTAATGGTAGATTGATTGTTTAGTTGTCTTTATTAAGGTCACATTACACGAGAAGGACAGTAAAGATCATTCTTACCGTGGTCAGCAATGATGATGATGTTGACACAATCGTGTAGATTCTGCTGGTAGAGACCGTCCATCAGTCGTCCCACCATCATGTCCATAGTCCGAAGTCGCTCGTTCAACTGGAGACAAATGCAGTCATAAAGCAATTTTCATTTTGATAATTATTCATTTTAATAACACATTCAAGGAACAAAAGATACTGCCGAGAGAAACCAACATCCCATTAGGGTTTAGGATGACATGGCTTGAAGTTAAATACACTGTTTCAGATATTCTATTTATTATAAAGGTGACCAGAATGAGGAATTGAAAAGCAATTCCAGCATTTTGGAATAACAGAATCTTTCATCCCCTTGGGGGTGAGAAAGGGGAATCTCAAACCTAGGGGGGAAATTCTTAAGTTGCCAAACACTTGGCAAGCCTCGAAAATTCTTAAGTTACCAAACACGAGGCTTGAGATTCCCAATCTCACACCTGACCTTAATGCATCGTTGACGTGATGTCATTTTACCGTTAACATGAATGATGTCATACAATTGTTACGAACAATCCCGTCTCAACCCTGGGATGAGACAATGATATCTTACACAGGTAAAAGTGTGGATACGCCTGTCCAGGGTAAGAGAGAAAATAGTTTTTGATGAAGTATTCAGTAATAATGAACTAATGGAACCAATGTCCTTGTGTGGTAATTAACTGATAATCATTTACCGTGACCTTGACCTTTGATCATTTGACCTGGAAAACAATCGGATCCTAATCAATCGTTGGAACAAGAAAGCTCTACCCATAGTTTGATACATACCAGGCCACTCTCTGGTCCCTGTTGATGACCTGCATGGTCTGGTTGGTCAAAGTACAAGGTGACCATGTCCGGCTTCTCGTTCTCTGGCATGGTCAGCCAGTCTAGGACTTCAGATACACGTTCGGGGTAGCCCGCGGAGCTGTGACCATTATAGGCAGAGTTAGCATAACTATACCTGTGTACTCACTAGATTGTGTCTGGAAACACCAGATATTCAGCAACATATGATCAAGTATGATAACACCTTAAGTAAAACAGCTATTTCATGTCATGTTTTAAATATAGCACCAAGAGAAAATTTTGCTTTCACATAGCAACAATAAATGACAACGCTCTTTTGATTAGGAAATATGTATTTTGAGTTCTCATGATGTTAACTCATATGACTATGTATCACAAAATATGAAGAAACAAGCATATTCTGTAACATTTCTTGGAATGCCAAAAAATATTGTTTGGTATTATGACCAGATATAACTGAGTCAATATCTGGATATGACTGGACATGACTGGATATGACTGTCGATATGACTGGATATGACTGGATATGACTGTGGATATGACTGGAT